CTTGTATTTCTACTTTAGTTGTTTTCTCTGTCTTATAATCTATAATTTTTTTTTAATTTTCCAGTACTTCTGCAAATTCTTTATGTTCTCATCTTTCTGCATCAGGCAAAATTTGTTTCATCTCTTTATCTCATAAATCTTCCAAAGTGTTCTCTTTCGCATCAGTAATTTGTTCTTTAATATTTTTGGGACATAATCTATTCATAGAAGCATGCATCATTGCCAAGATTGAAGCTGCTATTTTTTGACCCCATTCTTCAAACATCTCTTCAAGTATTTCAAATGTAAAAGCGTTTTCTGTCATTTTGCAAGTTCCAGCGTTGACCAAAGACAAGAGACAAGCTTTTCACTTTTTTTTCCCTTTTCCCTTTCTGCTTGGAATCTTTAGTCCCGTCTGGTGCTCAATTTCTGAATCATAAAGTCTCAGTTTTCTCTTTTGACTTAGAATAGACTAAACATGTTGGTTCCCACAAATGTGCTGCTTACTTATATAATTATTTCCAAAATCTGATAGCAAAAGTCCTAATATTCGATTGTTCCAAGTTTGTCTGGTCCCGTAATTCATTTATAACTTTCTTAAATCAGATACTTATTTAGCTTTTTACCATTTATTTCTAATTCTTTAAGTTCTTAAGCTTATAGTTATTTTTTTAAAATTCAAGAATGAAGGTAAACTCATCAGGTTTTTCAAACTTGTCATTTTAAAGATCTCTAATATCCTTAAGGTAGTTGAATAGGTAATTTCTGAAAATGATTAGAAAGTGAATTAGTGAACTCAGTGTCCTTTAAAAGGCTCTGCCACAGTTGAGAGCATGATGGTTCCCTTCATCTCCTGGCACTCAGACCTGTGGGAAACCACTGTCCTGCAGTCTTGCAATGAGGAGCAGCTGTCCAGAGCAGAAGTGGGCTATCTCCTGTCTTTTCCTTATCCAGAGGTTCTGTGGGACCGGTCTACTTGCCGGTTCTTCAGTCTTAGCTGTAGTCATTGTCTCCATTCATTCAGAGATGTCTTAGCTCTCCATTCCTCACCTGGAAACAACT